TTGCGTTATTCGATCAGAATTAAACTGTTCAATATAAATTGCACGCGTATCAAGCGGCGTGGACATGCGCGCAATCGTTAATTAATAACGACGATGATTATTTTAATTAATTAATTAATTTAAACGCTTAACGAGCGGGGACCGAATCCTTGCGTCCTGCTGACATGTCATCTCTCCGCCTCTCTCTCTCTCTCTCTCTCTCTCTCACGCGTGTGCAGATACCAGAGGTAGCCGACCAGGCGATCAAGCAATTAGGAAACAAGACTGAGTGTTCCTTGCTGGGTTTCGTCCTCGACCTCGGACGCGACTACCAGACAATTCGCGACGAGATGCCCGAGGAATGTCTCATCAAGGTAGGGGGCGCCACCGGCGGTCGCTCGCCGTGCACGCGCTGTACATACGTGCGCGGTCGAGTACTTGAAATCGGGTTACTTGAATTTTGGATTTTTTTTAGTATTAAAAATCGAATTTAATTCATTACTGGTTGAATTAATTTTGAGTAAAGTTGATTTGAATGCGAGATGAAATCGATTGCCTTTGAGTAGTCCGGTTTCACGTAATTTCCTATTTCGAAGCAATACAGGCGGAAACTTTGCCATCGAAAATATCGGCGCACGAAACGTGCTAGATGGGAAAAATGATAAAAATTGTTTTTTTTAATTTGCGAAAAAAGGGTAAGCGACGTCGAATGGTTTGCGCGGTCGGTCAGTAGATGGCGTTGGCATTGCAGGTGTTCACGTTCAACTCTGTGCGCAAGTCGATGAGCACGGTGGTTCCGCGGCCGGGCGGTGGGTTCCGCGTCTACTGCAAGGGTGCTTCCGAGATCATTCTGAAAAAGTACGCGGCGAGTTACACTAATTATTATAATTACCATTATTATTATTATTGTTATTATTATCATTATTATTATTATTAATTAAGTTTATTGCAAGGTAAGTTAATAACCTAATTAATAACAATAAGTATCATCATTATTAGTATTATTTTAGTTGATTTTAACTTTACTTAATTTCTTAATTAATTATGGTAGTAAGTATTACCGTTATTATGCTTAAACTGAGGCGAAAAAAAATTATTAAAAATTAAACAAAATTAAAAATTGCGCCACACGCTCACCTGTTTTCATGTGACGCCCCCTAGGTCCACTTTCATCATGGGCGCGGGCGGCGTGGCGCGGCCGTTCTCGGAGGAGGAACAAGAGGCACTCATCACGAGCGTGATCGAGCCGATGGCATGTGACGGACTGCGCACGATCGGGCTCGCATACAAGGACTACGTTCCAGGTAGGTGGCGCTAGTGCATACAAGGACTACGTAGCAAACGAACTTCGATGAACAGTCCAACCACGATCTTACGATGAACACCCACCGGGCGAACACGCCCGGGTGAACATCACGCCCGAACAGCCCTTCCCGACGAACGCGCCCCCGGCGATCGATCGCGGTTCGGCGCAGAACAGCAGCTCTGACGCGCGCGTTGTTCTTGCAGACGAGTCGCAGGCGGAGGAACACATCGGTCTCAACGAGGTTCACGTCACGCAGTCGAACAACCGCGTCGTGTCGCCCGGCGACAACACGGGTGAGTGAGACGGGCGCCGCACGAGCGAGCGCGGTCGCCGCGCACACCGAGGTCGCGTGCGCGGCGCCCGTCTACGTCGCGTTACCGGTCACCAGCGCGGCGATAAATTCTTGGGTGCCTCCCGTCGAGACGGGGATGCGATCAGGAGTGAATTTATAATACATTTATTTAATTAAACAACGTAATTACATTACTCTGTTCTTCACGATTAAAATCATCGCAAGCTTTCGAGATTTTTTTTGCACAAGGTCGCTATCGAATTTAGCATCTTGGTATTTTGAATGAGAAATTCCATAAAAGTCGTTAGCGATTAATAAGCAGATTAAGATTTCAAATGTGTCGTAATGTGAATTGTCGTGGGGTGCCACTGCGCTCTATCTACTGGAATAACTTCACTATTCTATCGTTTTCCCTTCCCATCACCGGCTAACTCGCACGAACTTCTTTCCCTCTCTGTCATTGTTTATTATTATCAAACATTGTTTATTGGTTACAACATGGCGTTGGAATCAAACGTCGCTGCCATTGTTTCATTATTCCACCATTTTTGCCTTCCCGCTGTCTTGTAATTAGCGTCTACAGTTGGTCTCATAGCATATATTCCTCACAGCATTTGCTCATACCGTCGCTACAGTACGCTAATACCGTTGCCATGGCGTCTGCTAACATCGCCTGCGCTTTCTTCCGCAGCCAATGACAAGAAGCCGGAAGAGGCGCTGTCAGAAGGTGGCGACACCGTCGCCGGCGAGGAAGCGACGAAGGCGGTGCACAAGGACAAGTCCGTGCTGCAGGCGAAGCTGACCAAGCTTGCCATCCAGATTGGCTACTTCGGTGCGTTGCCGCGGCAACCGCGCGCTTCTCGCGTCGTGATATAGCGTCTCGCGTCGTGCTATAGCGTCTCCCGTCGGGCTATAACGTCTCGCGTCGTGCTATAACGTCTCGCGTCGTGCTATAACGTCTCGCGTCGTGCTATAACGTCTCGCGTCGTGCTATAACGTCTCGCGCCGTGCTATAACGTCTCGCGTCGTGCCATAACGTCTCGCGTCGTGCTATAACGTCTCGCGCCGTGCTATAACGTCTTGCGTCGTGGCATAACGTCTCCGGCCGGG